AGCCCTACCTTGCACTTGATTTAGAAAATTGATTGGTTAATTAATGCAAACAATTGATAATAATCAATTTAAAATATCCTAGTTTATGAGGTTGTGATAGGGATGAATTAATTTGAGAGTGTCAGTTTTGGATTAAACACAAAAGTAATTTGGAAGTCGAATATGAATAAATTTTTATGCCAATGATCTAAATTTAAAAAAATTGTCTTGGCATAAAAATTGTCCAATACTGTATCGATTTAAAAAATGTGCCTTGTTCTAACCCTACCTTGGACCTAACCTAAAAAATTGATTGTTAAATTAGTAAAAAGAGTTGGTAATAATCAATTGAAGGCTCCTAATTTAAAGACCAAACATTTTGAAGGCTCCTAATGTAAAAATAAAAATAAAAAATCAAAGATACTAAAATATTAATATGATTTTGTAATATAAATTCTCAATCATTTGAAAATATTTAGGAGTTAAAGATCTAGGTTTATTAAGGAATGAGACTAATATCATAGGAGCTTGTAATTATACACAATTATTTGTTTTTTCATACACACCACATGCATTATAAATTTTATAATTTAGGCATAAATATTAGTACATCTAAGTATACAAAGATATTAAATATGTGTAATTACAAATATTTAATACCACCGTTACTGATATGGTGTTAAGAAATTTATGTAGTGCTAAAATTATCAAATGAAAACCAAACATACGACTCCTAATTTAAAAAAAAAAAAATTAAAAATCAAAGATACTCAAATATTAATATGATTTTGTAATATAAATTCTCTACCGTTTGAAAATATTTAGGAATTAATTTAGGAATATAAATTTAAAAGGTTATACGGTATCAATAATATAGTTATACAATAAAACTAACTATTTGAGCATATGAAGGAGTTGATTTTGGAACAAAAATTATTAATGATATTAAACAATGTTTAATCAATCAATCATTTTAAGACATGTCTTTTTTTGCTTTTACAATAATTCAAAAATTCTAAAAACTCATGTTGAGCATGTGGAGTTATCACATTCCTTCTCATTAGAAACTTCATTTTCTGTATAGATGTCTATTATAAAATTAAAATCTCGTACAGTGTTTTTCTCAATGAATGTGATCAAGTAATTCATTGATACCTTATTCTATTTTTTTTATAAACTAGTTGTAATTAACCCTAGTTATAAAAAAATAATTTCTTTTATTATATTTTGTCCATTTTTTTTAATTTTATATTTTGATCTTATATTTCATAGATATAGAGTGACAACCACTTAAAATTTGTAAAAGAAAAAAAACTCAAAGGAAGCGAACCTCTATAATTGTAACTAATATTATTATAATAAATGGTGTTTATGTAATCGGGGGAGGAAAACGGTCCCCTCTTGCTATCCTGTAGATTCATCTTTGCCAACCAATCAATTTGCCTGAGTTATTGTGCTAAATCTTATGATCCAAGTTTATCTTAGACCTTAGTGAGCAATACGACTTATTTGTGTAATTAGCATGCGGTTGTATCATCCTATATTTTACCATAATTTTGTTAGAAATGCAAGTCCATTGTCTATTTTGTGTTGGGCACCATTGTGAAGTCACGTCAAGATTCGAAACTCATCAAGTACTAACATTTACCATGTAGCTATGTTAGGATGTGTTTGTTTAGACGGATTGAATAAGGGGGGATTGTAATCTATCGGATTATTAGTCTTGGGATACATTGTTCTCGGACTATTTGGTTGGACTGGATTTGTATCCTATGTTTGTTTAGTCATGAGATTATATTTCTGTATTAGACTATTTTTAGTGCATCCAATATTTGGTTGGACGAACTGAATAAGGATAAATGTTCAAAAGACTATTTTACCCTTATAATTTATAATTTTTATTTAATATATAATTTTAAATTTGTAATCTATAATTTATAATTTATAATTTAACAACACTAAAATTTTTTAATTTATAAGGCCATAATTTTAAATTTATTATTTTAAATTAAATTAAATTTATAATTTATATTTTTTATTTAATGTATAATTTTAAATTAACAACACTAAAAAAATAATTTTATTTAATATATAAATAAGGCCATAATTTTTAATTTATTATTTTTAATTAAATTTAATTTCTAATTTATATTTTTTTATTTAATATATAATTTTAAATTAACAACACTGAAAAAATAATTTTATTTAATATATAAATTTAATTTTTTTAACAACACTAAAAAAATTTTAAGGCCATAATTTTTAATTTATTATTTTTAATTAAATTTAATTTCTAATTTATATTTTTTTATTTAATATATAATTTTAAATTAACAACACTAAAAAAATAATTTATAAATGTTCAAAATACTATTCTATCCTTTTCGAATTGTTTATTAAGTAATAGCATAAGGGTAAAATGAACATTTTACATATTAGTCCCATGGGATATCAATCCTATAGAAATAATTCCACCCCTCCTCCTAGGATACAATAATTCCTCGTATAAGGGACTAATAGTCCGAAGGGACTATTAATCCGAAGCAAAAAAAATTGAACAAAATAATAGACTATTTGTCCAGATAGACTAATAATCTAATCCCATAAAATAATCCCTCAAAACAAACTCACTCTTGTATGCCAAGTTGAATCCAAGCCCACTACGACATCACTTTATTTTCTCAATGGTAGGTTAATAAAATAAAAAAGGTTACTCGGGAATGATCAATTTGTTAAATATTTGTTTAAAATTGTAATTTGTACTAATATAAATAAGTTAAGTTTGAGTGTATTTTAGAATTCATTAATTTTTTAAGTTCGACTTGATAAATTTATATGTATTATAAAAAAATCAAGTTCCTCAAATTTATCATGATAAATTTATTAGGAAATCATTTCGAAATAAATATGTCATACATCTTAAGGCTCTTTAAAATTTTTAATTTAAAATTAAACATCTTTACAACCTTACTTAATAGGTCCAAACAATACAAATACATATGTTTGATTTCACAAGACTAATAGTGAGGTATTAATAATCCAATCAAATTAGTGTGGTGTTCACAATCTCACCCCTACCCCATTACTAATAGTCCTACAAATTTGTTGGATTAATTATCCATTGGATTGATAATCCTAAAATAAAATGTCAAAACAATCATAGGATAATTGGGCCCGCGAATTAATAATCCTAATCCCATACTCTAATCCTGCCAATCAAACATGCCAGAAGATCACTACATTGATTACTTATTTTAATGTAGGGGTAGGGTTGTATCAGCACTTATTCTACCTTTAACTACACAAATCACACCATAAAAAAAAAGAGAGTTAATTATCAAAACATCAACTTAATTGAATATTATTTGGTTCATATTAATTTTAAAATCAGATATTTTAACGTCTTAATTAAAAAGATTGTTTTATGAAAAAATGAAAGTGATGCAATTTTTTTATTAAACGAATTGAAATATATTCAACAACAATGTAATTATTAATCTTTTAAAATAAAAATTAAAAAAAACTCAACATACCAGCATCTTCGTTCAAGTTCATGCAGAATAGTGTCATTATTGTGCCCTAACTTGGTTAAAAGCAGTTTCGTTGACTTTTTGATTTTTTTGGTCACATCATCTCTCTATATTTTTACATATTTTTTCAAAAAAAGTAAAAAAAAAAAAAGTTATTCATAACATAATCAAATGATTATATTTTATTTATTTTTAAAAATAATTTAATAATATAATTATTAATATCTAATTATTAGTATTATTTTGGGATAATTGTTGAAAAAAATAATATAAACTCAAAAAACTGCAAGGAAATAAAAGTAAAAGAATTACACAATTTAATGCATAAATTACTTATTTTTCATGATATTATAATTATTTTGTAATTATCTTTATAATTTTTTAAAGAAAATTACAAAAAAAAAACTATTTAGATTTGACCATTATAACAAAATAAATTCTAAATTTTTAATTATGTCAATTTAAAAGCTAATTTTTTTTTGTTTTATTTTCAATCTAAATCATTTGTTTATTTTTATTAAGTAAAATTGATAAAAAAAAATTATATTTTAGTCATTAAACTCAACAAAAAAAATATTTTAGATGTTTTATGTACACTTACGTTAAGTTTAATGACTTTTGATGATTAAAGTATTCACTTTTTATCTATTTTACTTAACGAAAATAGGCTGATAATTTAGACTAAAAATAAATAAAAAATAGAATTTAAATTGATAAAATAAAAAATTTATTTTATTATAATAGTCAAATTCTATTTTTTTGTGGTAATTTTTCTTAATTTGTCATATAAATAATTAATTAAATTTTTTTTAGAATAATCTAAATAAATGTACTTTTTACTTTTTTAAGACAAAATATACAAAACAAAGAGAGAAAAAACTAAAAAGGTAATCAGCTTGTTTGGCTCTAGTTTTCAAAAAACAGTTTTTAGAAAATTCTATTTTTTTATTTTTCGTATTTTTATATTTTCTATGATTTTTTTAATATTTTAAGCAATTTTTTTTAATTTTAGACATACCTAACATAAATATATTTAAAAAATATAAACGCGTTTGGTTTGAACAAAATATTAAAAAAAAATTAAAACATAAACTAAAAAATATGTTTGTTCAGACCTAAAATATTTATATCTATTTTTATTATTTTTGACAATAGGATCAAACACATTATAATTGAAAAAAATTAATTAAAAAAATTAATTGGAAAAGAAATTTATTAAAAAAAATATTTGAAAAAAAAATTAATGAAAAAATTAATTTTAAAAAAAATTAAATTTAAAAAATTGAAACCAAATACAGTAAAAATGTGATTGGTAAGTATAAACTAAAAGGTAATGTGATTCCTAAGTACATTTATTTAAGAAATGTTAAACAAATTTTTAATTACAAAATAAATAGTAAACAAATTAGATTAAAGAGTGATTACATCATGAGTGACACGAAGTCCAGTAAAATGAAAGTTCGAAAGATGAGATAAATGGGGCGGTCTCCGTGGCGATACGACCGCCACCGTCAGCCCTACTCCATAATCCCCATCTCTCTCTCTCTCTCTCTCTCTCTCTCTCTCTCTCCTCCTCCTGTGTATAAAAGGAACCAGAAAAGCAGAGCCACGCGAGCCTCTTAGAGCGGAAACTGAAGAAGAAGTAGTAAAATTCATAACCCCCCCACCCAAAGAAAGAGGGCACAAGGCGAGAGCGGGTTTTCAGAGACTTCCATTACCTTTTACCCGTTCCCAACTCGCTCAACACTCACCACGGTTACTCCTCTACCTATTATTCCCTTCTTCAGATCTGATTTCTGTGTACCCTTTTGCTGTTTTTTTGTTGGGTTTTTGATTTTTTGGAGAAAAAATTGTGTTTTTGATTTTGGGTTTTTTGTGTTTAGATGGATCGGTATCAGAGGGTAGAGAAGCCGAGGCCAGAGACGCCGATTAACGAGAATGAGATTCGTATAACCACTCAGGGGAGGATGAGGAACTACATTACTTATGCTACCACTCTGCTTCAGGTCTCTCTCTCTCTCTATGTATGTATACATATTTAGAGAGCTCACTGTACTGGTTTTGAATTTTGCTGTTGAAATCTAAGCATTGTGCGATTGTTTTTCATGGTCTGTTTAGAAGTACGTTTGAAACTACTTGTTTTTCTCTTTTCAGCACTGAAAAACGGGAATGATTGGGGAAGAATTGTCAGTTCTTTATGCAAATGAGGTGAAGAGTTCTGAATGCATAATAAAAATGATGTCTTTTTGAAGAGGGAATAAAAATAAAAAGCTGTATAAAAGTTTATGATGCCAATGTGTGAACAATTAGGCAATTTTTGCCCTTGAGGATGTATAATTTGATCTTATGAGCTTACATCTTAGGTAATTGTTACTGGACAAGGTCTTTGCTAATATATGAGTTTTGGGCTGTTCGCCAATCTCTAAAAAAAAAAGAGAGTTTGTATCAATGGTCCCATTTGCATGGACGCGACCATAGTCATAAGAAAACTCTAATATCCTAGCAGTTATGTTTTGAATGCCATTATCAAACATGCTACACTATCATTCCAAAACAATAAATTTAGCAATCCAAACCAAATATATATTTTTTCTACCATTTGTTTTCCTTAAATTTTCTGTATGAGAAAAAAGAACGTCAATATAATTGGTTAAAATCTAGAACTAGTGGAGTTGCCAAGAAATATTTAGAAGAAGGTGGTTATATTGCATTGAAATGTGTTTGTATATGACTAATTTAACTATTAAAAAACTTCAAACATTAGTAGAAATGCATTTTAATGTATTGTGTCTCATTAATTTTCTAGTTATTTATGAAATGGCATCCATATATTTAGAAGTATTTTAGTACACTCACTAATGTGATGTATATAATGTGTGTGTTTGGAAAGTTGTTATTTTAGTAGGCTATTTAAGTTTTTGGCTAATTTAGTAGGCTAAAATTTTTGTATTTAGGAAGATAGTTAGATTTTTTTGTAGTTAGATGTAATGTTTGTGAGAGAAAAAGTGAAATAATTATGGGTTTGATGTGATATTATTGGCTATTTTAGTCTATTTTGTTTTTTGTGAATTTTACCCAAAAAAGCCAAAAAATAAGCTTTCTCAAATCATAGTGCATTTTAAAGTATGTTGTGTACCCATTCATGTTCTTGTTTTGCATACTAGAATGATTCATGTTCATTATAACGTTGGTTTGTGTTCTTGGTAACACTTAATCAAGCCAATTTGCCCAATTTACCAATGCTCTTGGCTCATTGCCTCTATTTTGTTGATACTCTTCTTTGACAAATAAAAAGAAATTTTATTTTTGTTTTTTCTTTATTCTCTCCTCAATGATTTCCTTTCATTTGAGATTTTCTTTGTTGGAAACCTTAAGGGCTTGTTTGGTTGTGCTATCTTTTTTTTTTTTTTTTGAAAATAACTTTTTAGTGTTCTTTAAAAAGTTGTTTGTTTTATAAAATTTTCCCAAAAAAAGTTATTATGAATATTCTCCGAACAAGTTTTTTACGTTACGAAAAATGAAAACAAAAAATGCAAATACAACCAAACAGGTCCTAAGAATGTGGTTATTTTGGAATGGGTACTAGTTTTCTTCTCTCTTTCTATTCAAGGTGGCTTATTGTTTCATGCCGTGATGCATGCATTTTGATTGAGCTCTTTTGAGTGTTATATTGATGGAACTGCTAGGATTTCTGTTGATGTTCCATATACCTTTATTTTCTAATATTTGTCTTTATCATCATCGCTTTTGTTAACTCATTTGACATTTTCAATATTTACATGCTTTGTGCATTGCAAATGCTCTTTCCTACATATCACGAACTTGGTAGGCCAAATGTTGGACTCTTAACCTTTGATGTCATAACCTCAAATATGCATTATTTATAGACAAAAGTATCTGGTTATTGGGGAAAAATCAATATACTAATAATCTCAAAACAGGATCAACTAGGATGTAAATAAAGCATTGCGTTGAAATCTTCTTTGGTGTCAAGGTCATAGTTATACATAATCGACTTTCTGGAAAGTGTAGAAGAATGATACCTATTAGAGGGTATACAATGCATTACAGACGTATGATCATTATGCTTCAACCGGGTTATTCTATTCCAACTCTTAGAAAGAAAAGAATGTAAATCAAAATATTTAATAGCATGGCAATACATTTATGCAAAAGTTCTAACTTGAGCGCATGCAATGGAAAACTACACATTAGAAAACAGTATAACATTTTATCTATAAGTGCATCAACGTTTCTTCTGGTCTTTAGATTTACTTTTATTCTGTCTTCTCTATCTTAACTCCTTTTTTTTTTTGTTTATTTAATGTTTTTGTAGGAGAAAGGATCCAATGAAATTGCTCTAAAGGCCATGGGCAGAGCTATCAACAAAACTGTGATGATTGCTGAATTGATTAAGGTGGTTCTTTTCTCCTGTTTGGTTCTTGTGGGAAATTGTTCAAATAGCCCTTAACCCTTCTCCAGAAAAATTGTCTATGCTGTCTTCTATGTATTACATGCTAATGAAAACGAGTTTTCTGTATCAGAGAAGGATTGCTGGTCTCCATCAGAACACGTCAATTGGTTCAATGGATATAACCGATACATGGGAACCATTAGAAGAAGGCCTTCTTCCGTAAGAAGCAAAGCATCTTCTTATGCTTGTGAACTTAGTCATTTTGTCTAGTGCCATTTTGATGGTTATTAAGCTGATAGATTTTTTGCTAGTGCAGCCTAGAAACTACTCGCCATGTCTCAGTGATAACAATTACTTTGTCCAAGAAGGAACTGGATACATCTTCTGCGGGGTAAATTTTACTTTCTTCCCTTATGTTATTTATGTTTGTGATAATCAACTTGAGATTTTGGGTTAGGGATGGAAGGTTATTATTTATTAGTGGGTGATATTAATGCAGGATTGTACAAGTATGGCTCGTGTATATTGTATCTGTTTGCATATATGTGTTTATCTATTATTATTGCTTCTTGAGGCCCTATGTGAAGAGTTGCTAGCCTACATACACGTCATAAGTGTGCTTATTCTTGCCCACAAGTGGAACCCTTTACGGTTCCATATTAATTAGGAAGTTTGTAAATAATTGTGAAGTTCATACGGGGTCAGTAATTCAAGAGGTCCCAAGGGATGGGATTTTGTGTAAAGTATCCATATTCAACTAACATTGACAACCTACACTTGGCGGTTTTTTTTGTTGCTCTGATATTTTTAACATAGTGAAGAGCCTGTAATCCTTAATAAAGGGTTGCATAAAGTACTTCAGAGTGAAAAATTGCTAGTCTATAGGAATCCTTCTCCTCTGATCTTATAGCTGTATAACTCCCTTCTTAGTATATATCACTTATGAGATATTATGTACGATTAAGGTAATTACAGAGGTCCTAAGCCTCCAGGGTTGGTCATGTATGTTCTTGGTCATGTGTGGACAGTAATTCTATTTTGGTGACTATAGATGATGTTAATGCTTGAAACGCTGCCATGCTTGGCAAACAAATCAATTGTTTGGGGCGTTCTGTCATTGACCTAGGTCCTTCACCTTCACTACATTGATGTGGATTGCCCTGTGAAGTAGCAATAAAACTTTTCTAGACATTTGTAATTCATGGTCTAATTAGACAACATTTAAACATCGGAGTTGTGAAGAGGAAAATGATCCATTTCATCTTGACTTGCTTCTGTTTTTATTTATTTATTATATTTTTCTTTCTTAAAAATTCCAAGTTGGGTTCTTCTCCTACCGGTATCAAATAGAACATGCTGAGCCAACTTTGATGGACCGTACAATCATTGGGTGTCAACCAACAAACAAAAAACTAACAATCTAAACAATGATTCGATGAATAGAATTGAGGTTTTATACAAAGAGTCTCTTTCTTTGGATTTACTTGAAAAGAGGATTAGATTGTGTAATGATGAGCCTAAAAAAGAATACATGCCCAAAATATATGATCTTATGAACCCAAAATATATGATCCTATGAACCCATTGTTTAACTATCCAAAATTTGACTACATTTGAGCTACCCTGCCCTTTGTTTCCTTTTGTAGGTAATGGTTGATGATCATCATAGTCTTTTTAAGTCTTGGTCTATGGTTGAGAACCTTTAAATTTATGTAGGACTTTTAGTATGATAAAGTGTATCTGAACATTTGAGTTGCTAATGATTAGTATCCCATCTTCTAATTAAATTGCAGGTACCAAACACCTATTCCGGTTGATCAAGTGAAACCATGGAATGAATATGATTATGAAGGAGGTAAATAAATATTATATAATTCTCTATATTATTTTTTTTCTAAAATATTTTTATAATTAGGTTGTTCTTGTATGGAATCAGAGGGATCTCCTAATATGCGTGGGAGAGGACGTGGTGGTCGGGGAAGGGGTAGAGGAAGAGGTAAAATACTCTGCATTTTATTCCTTTGATTCTGCTTTTGGAAATAACATTGATGGTGTCTTTAAGCAATTGCATTCTTCATTTGATTGTTATCTGTGCAGCTTTTAAATGTGCGACTGTCAAAAAAAGATGAACAAGCACTACAAAAGAAGTTTTGCCATGAATTATTAAATTCCTTTAAAGCCAGTACAAATGTTGTGCGAGATTGTCATGAATATTTTGAAAGAAAGATTATGAGAACTAATTAACTCAATAAAGTCATACTACTTGAGGTTAGGAACATTGATCATTCTCTGCCATTTTTCTGTATATAGGGTGTTAAACTAACTATTGATTTTGAAATAGATCAGATTTTTTAATTTTTTTTGGATAAATAAAAGAGATCAGAATTTATTGGAAGTGTAGGAATTTTAGAAAATAAATATGAACAACAGATATTTAAGCGAAAGATGTGAATTAAACATAAGATGGTGTTATTTCAAATGGATTGATTCTTGCTGGTGGTTGGCTGGAATGAAATTTTGCAGCACAGACAGCTGATATACAAAGATCACTTTATAATGCACAATGCATAATACCAATCTTTTGGTAGTTTGTTATCATCCTTGAAGTTCTCTCTTCCTTCCACCTGTAGTTTGAATAGAGTATGGCTTAAGCTTTATTCATATAGGAATGAGTGTTGCACCTCATACACATGTAGGTCTGCTATGAAGCATTAGTTACATGTAGGTTTGGGCTTTGAAGGGTTAGAAAAAGGCCCCTCAAATAATTTTTGCTTCCCCTAGAAACAAAAGAAAGTATAGAGCACTAATCGATTGATTGGGTGTTCAATCTATTTCACATTCATTTGTCCTCTTTTTTCTTCCAGTCTGGCCCCTAGAGTATCCTCTGGGGGAATTAGATTCAAATTTTGATCAAGAATATATTGCTCAACAGATAGAACCTGCGCTTGGTGAAACTTCAAATAGGTTCCCTGTATAGCACCGCATTGAATGTGGTTCCATGTGGTAGCCTGATGGGCTGGTTGGTTAGATGATGTTTATACTGTGGGTAGGAAAAGACTGGTTTTCTGTATAATATCATAAAAATGAAACAAATTTAAGTAGTAAAGAATGAAATAAATAACATATAAAGAGAAGGAATGAAACAAATATCTTTTGGTTTTCGAACCTTGGCATAGAACGAATAGGAGAATGCCTATAAAAGTATTTGTACCAACACTATTCCCATTTTGATGACCCAATCAAGGATGTGGTTTCTTGAAATAAGGCTTTCAGAAGTTTGACTTTAATAAAAATAAATAAATTATATATGTATAATGATAAAGAATTTTTTTAGCAAAATAAAAAGTCGAATGGATAAATTGTAGGGTGTTTTTGTTTTTGAAAAGACTAAAAAGGTGGGTTATAAATTTAACAAATTTAGGGGGCATATATAATTTGAGGTGGCAAATTGAAAGATATTTGCAAAACCATAGGTGAAAATGTATTTGTTTAAAAGTTGAGCAGGGGCACATGCCCCTTCGAGGCCTTAATTGGCTCCGCCACTGATTGCTGGAGACTTGCAACAGTTGAAGCTAGAATGTGAATTCACATTGAGTGCAGGAATTGGGTTTCAAGTTATGATAGTTGATGCAATATTAAAAAAATGGATAATGTTTGGTTAAGAAGCATTTCTATTAGGGGCCAACATATTAATTTTCAGCACCCTTTGTCGGTGGCTATGGTGCTGTGTTGTGGATTATATTGCTTTATTTTTGCCCCTGTTCTGACTCCTTATGAAGTGTAATAACTACAAAACCGTTTGTCATTGGCTATAGTTTTGCCTTGTGGATTATAGTGCTTTATTCTTTCCCCTCTAACCTGACTCCTTATGAAGTGTAATAGCTACAATCTATCTTCTACAGGGAGTAGTAACAATGGAGTGGTAGAATACAATGGAGATGGTGGATGGGATGGTGGACGTGGATATGGTGGAAGAGGACGGGGTAGGGGAAGAGGCCGTGGTTTTCGTGGACGTGGAAGAGGCTATGGTGGTGGGGATATGCAACAAGACTTGGGTGGTTACAATGACTATGGTGGATCAGGGGCACCGTTTGCTCAAGGCCGCGGTAAGTATATTTATATGTTTGCCATTCCAAAGATTTCTCTCTACTTCAGTAAAACGTGATGGTCAATTAACAATAGTGGAGTTGAGAACTTTAATAACCACACACCAGTGACCCTTGTCATTTTTCTTTAATGAGCTTGTCGAGGGTGGAATTTCTTGTAAGCTGCAGCTGGGATTAGTTGCATACTACTGTGCGTCATGTAGATTAACTTTTTTCTGGATAAATTACAGTTTTCACCCTTAAAACTTCTGAATTTTACTTTGATACCTGATTTTATCTGAATTTCACCCTTACATTTGGTCCTTCTATCAATTATCATTAAAAATTTGGACGGAAAGTGATCACATGAGGGCTGCGTGAATACATTTTAAGGGCATTAAACAATTTTTTTAATGATAAATTACACTTTTCATCCTCAAACTTACACTCAAATTTCAAACGGTGGGATGACTGGGGGATCACATTGAAACACATGTTGAAGTTTGATGACCTAATTGTTGCAATTAGAGATGAGGGACCAAAGTGAAGTTTGGGTGAAAGCTTGAGGGTGAAAAGTGCAATTTACCCATTTTCCTCCTTTCTTATGTTCCCTGGATCTGTCTGTCTTTCTTGAAGACCTTTTACTTTTAGGAAAATTAGAATTTATCCACTTGAACTATTACTCAGTATCACTCTGTCCTCTTCCAACTACAAATTGCTACACTTGCTACCTTGAACTGTCAATTTGTACCAATAAAATATTGTAGAATGCTTGAAATGACCCCCTTTTTTTTTGTTTTCCCTTCTCCTACCCACCCACGACAACAGCCATGGCTGCTGACGTGCATAGAAGAAAGAAGGGAAGGGAAGGGAAGGAGAAAGAGAGAGAAAATATGAAGAAAAGAAATAGGTCATTTAAGCATGTCACAATATTTAAGATTTCATGTGCATGTCATATGTCAAATTTTTATCCATTTATGTGACGGATCCTTAACAGAATGTTTAGATTAATGCAAATTGATAATTCAAGGTGGCAAAGTATAGTGTTTTTAGTTGACCGGATAAACTGATACTGAGTAATATGTTCAAGAGCGTTTGCCTTTTTGTTTCATTGTACATGTATACGCTTGCAGAGGTGCTGAATCTAGAGTTCATAATTAATGTTGGATACGTCAAAATCTTGCTTGGCTGATCTGTGTTCACAAAAATATCTAAATTCAGCTGGTTTTGGTTCATTTTTCATGTATTATATTTATTTTCAACTTTCGACATTAATCTCCATGGATCTTTGCAGGCCGTGGACGTGGGCGTGGACGCGGACGCAGCTGGGGCCGTGGGCGTGGGCGTGGGGGTGGTCAGGATTTCCGATCTGATGGTCCAGTCCAGGCAGCTGCCTGACCGGCAGAAGGTACAGCTCTTAGATTGGTAGTTCTGGATGCCTGCTCTGCTGATTATGTCTTCTTCTCATGAAAAAAGGGGGAAAAAAAAGAGAGAAAAAAGTAGTGTAATTTCATCAATGATTTTCTAGGAATATGGGTTAATAGTGAGCAGCTGCTGTTTTTATGCAGCAGCCATGTTTTTTTTGTAGTTTGTAGGATTATTTTAATTTAATGATGACAAACTAAGTTGTACAATTCCTCTTTTTAGGAGAAATAATAGAGCAGTACATTCTTTTATTCTTAATTCTAACTATACCGCCTCTTTGCTGAATCAGAAGTTTCATGAAATTTTTGTTGTAAGGTTGTTTGGACTTTGCATTACTTGTTTCCAGTCGTCAGCTTTGTCACTGGCCACCCTTTCTAGAAGTTGGGTGAAGTATATATCATTTAAAATTCATCATATTAATAAATAAGTTCCATAGGACTATGCAATGGTTTATAGGGGTGTGTGTGTGTGATACATGTAACTAGAAGTTTTTGTGTTGTCCTATATAAAGGGTACTATAGTGGGCTACATGTAAGTGAATTGAAGTTAAGTTGAAGAAGGTTATAATAATATTTGTATATATTAAGTGTTTTAATTGAATTCTTAGTTCATATCGAAGGAGATCTGTACAAGTCCTACCTCATACAACCGTACATCTCAATGCATACTTGTACCCTCTAGCACAATTTATTTTAAGCTTTCGCTGCCCTTAACATCTCCTGCCTCCCCTGTGTTCCATGAAAAGGGTGAGCTGAAATGTTTTTGGTGTGCTGTTGGAATTGGCATAATGGGACTGTGTATGCATTCTATTGTTGGGATTGCTCTTTCTTTCTTTTTTTTGTTTAATTTTTAATTTTTTTTATTGTGTTTGGGAATGCTCTTTTTGGTTGAACTTTTTTGCATGTGTCCATTACTCTTCTTTTCGACGAGGAAAATCTAAAGGGTTTCGAAGACAATAGGCTAGAAAAACTGACCTGGAGAGGATGGTACATGGGTGAGTGCACAGCTGACACACACCCACACAAACATTCTTCCATGTGATGAGGATTGTAGTGCTGTTTTATGTTATGTCCCAAGCAGAGAGGGACTATGAATCTGTGATAGCTTGCCTTGTCGAGAACTCAGAGAAAGTGATTTCATCAGATGTTTTAAGTCTTCAAGGCAATTTTATTTTATTTTATTTTTTCAATTGGAAGGAAGTTGATTCTTACTATAATCCACTACTAAGGTAGTATTTGATTCACTGGAATAAAACGGAATCATTCCATCAAAATATTCAGAGGAATGAAGAACAGAAATGACACCATGGAAATCAAAAGGCAAGTAAAATTATGAGACGGAATTTCTCCAACTGTGAAATTCAGTCCAACTGTTTGTGAACTTAAATTTTATAAACTAGTACATCAATCTTCAATGGTTCATCCAGAATTTGGTAATTTCCAAATCCAGATCAAAGCCTGGCCAATTTCTTGGAAACCCAGTCAAAGTAAAGCTTGTAGTAAGTATACACAAGTAAGCCCTTTTTTTTGGCATATCTATTTTCAGTGAGATATGTAATAAGTGAGACTATTTGTAGCACACAAAAGTTGACATCATGAGTCAATTTTCTTAGTTGGATGAAGTCATACACAGTATTACATTACCCATTGAGACAAAAGATGGCCAAACTCGACACCCAAAAGTCAAGTCTTTGTAGGGAACAGAATCCCTTGATTATGATTTCTTTCCCATTGATTTATACCTAAAGAAAACAATTGTTGACTAGACAAAAATAGCTAAATGAACTCTCTTTCCTTTTTCCAAACACCTGTTTGTCTATTTTGTGACGTTTTCTCTTTTTTTTTTGGGAGCAATTATTGGATACCGCGGAGAATATATTGTCATGTGATGCTTTCCTCAGACATTATTAGTTTACACAATGGAACATATCAGCAATGTTCGGCACCTAAAAAATTTATACGAAAAAATACTGGAGGGTTAAGATTCATTTCAAGTATGAGTTTCACTATATATAATTAAATTTTGACAACACATTATATTTTGGGTAAATTTGTGGACAAATTTTATAGTTTCTTAACTTTTATTGCCTAACAAGAGGGGAATCACAATTGACACTTAATGGTTGGTATGGGGTAAACTTTATTGCTTGCACCCATCTTCTTCTTGCTGATCTGGAAAGATCTTATAGATCAGTTGACCAAGCTCAACTTGCAACCAATAGGCGTACAATTTTCAAACTCATATCATAATTCTCAAAGAAATCGTGTTTTTTTTTAATTAAAAAAGTTCAATTATTTATTGCACTCTGTATCTATACATACCTCTCATTGCACTTCAAGCTCTTCAGCTCCCTTCTTAGCTTACATTGAAACATCAACAATGACATCATTAGCAATGTCTCCTTCCAAACAGTTCCTTTCTTTCCAAGTCCAGTTTATCTTTCTCATCATCCTTGTGCTGGTCTCTTCTTCCCATTTTGCTGCTTTTGCTTATTCTCCGACTCCAAAAACAGAAGTAGTGGCTCTTTTAACGTGGAAAGCAAGCCTTGACAACCAAAGCCAATCTCTCCTATCATCGTGGGTTGGAAGCAACCATTGTAATTGGGTTGGAATTCGTTGCAACAAGGTCAACAGTGTCACCCATATAAACATTACGAGTTATGGTTTGAGAGGTACGCTTTCCAATCTTAATTTCTCGTCCTTCATTCATCTCCTCAGCCTCCAACTTTTTAACAACTCACTCTATGGGAACATCCCTTCCAGCATTGGGAGCCTTTCAAGACTCTCATATCTTAGCTTGGCCGCCAATAATTTGTCTGGAACAATTCCACCTGAACTAGGCAACTTGATGAATCTCAAGATCTTGTACATGAATAGAAATCAAATCAGTGGCTTCATCCCTCGAGAAATAGGATTGTTCAGCTCTCTCAAGGAGCTTAGTTTGTATTCTAATAATCTCACAGGTTCAATCCCTCATTCTATAGGAAACTTGAGTGATTTAACCCTTTTGTTCCTTTATGACAACAAACTCTCCGGATCTATCCCTCGAGAAGTTGGGATGTTGAGTTCTCTTGTTATGCTTGATTTGTCTGCAAACAACCTTGTGGGTTCAATCCCTGCTTCTATTGGTAACTTGAGCAACCTAGCAATTCTATACCTTTTTCAAAACCAACTTTCTGGTGCAGTCCCTCAAGAAGTTGGGTTGTTAAGGTCTCTCAAAGAGCTAGTTTTGGGGTCTAACAATCTCACAGGTTCTATTCCTACTTCTATAGGGAACATGGACAACTTAACGATCTTGTACCTGTATGAAAACCAGCTTTCTGGATCAATCCCTCAAGACGTTGGGTTATTACGGTCACTCAATGAGCTCATTCTATGGTCTAACAATCTCACGGGTTTAATCCCTGCTTCTATAGGAAACTTGAGTAGTTTATCCACCCTAACCCTTTCTGAAAACCACATTTCTGGATCAATCCCTCATGAAGTTGGGAACTTGAACAGTTTATCCACCCTAACCCTTTTTGAAAACCACCTTTCTGGATCAATCCCTCATGAAGTTGGGTTGTTAACGTCTCTCAGTAAGCTTGCTCTGAATTCTAACAATTTCACGGGTTCAATCCCTCCTTCTATAGGGAATTTGAACAACTTAACAATTCTATATCTTTATGGCAACCGACTTTCAGGAACAATTCCTAATGAAGTTGGGAATCTAAGGTCTCTCATTGAACTTGATTTGTCAACAAACAATCTTGTTGGGTCAATCCCTACATCTATAGGGGACTTGGGCAACTTAAACATGTTGCACCTCCAGGCAAACATGTTCTCAGGATGGATTCCTTCAACTATTGGAAACTTGACCAAGCTCAGTGCGTTAGATTTAGCTGTAAATCGATTATCTGGCTACATTCCTTCAGAGATAGGAAAGTTAAAATTCCTTGAGTTTCTTGGGTTGACCAGCAACCACCTCACTGGCTCTATACCTCTAGGATTGAGTAATCTTACATATTTGAAAAATTTCCATATAGGTTACAACAAACTTACCGGTCATTTGCCAGGACACTTATGCTTTGATGGTGGATTACTTGCATTGAGTGCAAACAACAACAATCTCACAGGTCCCATCCCAAAAAGTTTGAAAAATTGCCATAGCTTATACAGAGTTAGGCTTGATGGAAACCAATTTTCAGGAAATATATCAGAAGATTTTGGCTTGTACCCAAACTTGATTTACATTGATTTGAGTGATAACAATTTCTACGGCGAGCTATCTCAAAAATGGGGAAAGTGTCATAATTTAACTAGTCTCAAAATGTCTAATAATAATATTTCTGGTGGGATACCGCTTGAATTGGTAGAGGCAGCTCAGCTACAGAAACTTGACCTCTCTTCAAATCATCTAGTTGGAGAGATACCAACAAAATTGGGAAGGTTGGTTTCATTGTTTGACCTTAAGCTGAATGATAACAAACTCTCGGGCAACATTCCTCAAGTGTTTGGCAAGCTTTCCAATCTGGAGAATCTTAACTTGGCAGCAAATAATCTAAGTGGTCCGATCCCTATAGAACTGGGGGAATGCTTGAAACTATTAAGCTTGAATTTGAGCAACAACAGAATTGGGAATAACATTCCTTTAGAGATAGGCCATTTACAGGGCCTTCAAAGTCTTGATATTGGTTACAATTTGCTAATAGGTAAGATACCACTACAGATTGGTGAATTACAAAGCCTAGAAACATTGAATATCTCCCATAATGAGCTCACTGGTTCCGTTCCATTATCTTTTGATAATATGTTAAGTTTGACATCGGTAGATGTATCTTTCAATCAGTTGGAGGGTCCTATTCCTAACATGAAAGCTTTCCGAGAGGCTCCATTTGAGGCGCTCAGAGGTAATAAAGGTTTGTGTGGTAATGCTACTGGTTTGAAAACTTGCTCGCCTAAAATGAACAATGAGATTGGTAAAAAAAAGACAAACAAAGTAGTGTTACTAGTTGTCCTAATTTTTGGATTTTTATTGCTTTTGCTAATGGTTCTCGGAATTTTTATGGCTTTTCATAAGAAAGTAAGGAACACAACAAATGAACCAAGACAAGTACATAATCAAAATTTGTTTGCAATTTGGAGCTATGATGGGAAAATGGTGTATGAAAACATCATTGAAGCGACTGAGAACTTTAGTACCAAACATTGTGTTGGGGAGGGAGGATGTGGTACTGTTTATAGAGCTGACCTTCCAAGTGGTCAGGTAGTTGCTGTGAAGAAACTTCACGAATCACCTGATGATGACTTGACTAATCTAAAAAGCTTTACGAGTGAGATCCATGCGTTAACAGAGATTCGCCATCAAAACATCGTAAAACTTTATGGTTATTGTTCACACCCGAGGCACTCGTTTTTGGTTTATGAGTTCTTGGAAGGGGGAAGCTTAGGAAATATATTGAGCACAGAGGATCAAGTATTGCAATTTGATTGGATTAAGAGAGTGAATGTTGTCAAAGGTGCGGCAAATGCTTTGTCTTATATGCACCACGATTGTTCACCTCCAATCATCCATCGAGACATATCAAGCAAGAATGTTTTGCTTGATTTAGAGTATGTGGCTCACATCTCAGATTTTGGCACAGCTAGATTTATGAAGCCTGACTCATCCAATTGGACTACATTTGCCGGGACCTATGGGTACGCTGCTCCTGGTATGTAATTTTCTATTGCAGTGATTTTATCTCAAAGTCATCCATATAATGTTCATTTTAATTTATCAATCTTTGCGTATTAAGAGTTTTTGATTTCACTTGATTTAAAAGAATTGTTATCTGGATATGGAACAATTCTTTATATATTTTTTAATTACTATTTTCTTCTGTTGGTCATTTGTTTGATTTGGTAGAACTTGCTTATACAATGGAAGTGGATGAGAGGTGCGATGTTTATAGTTTTGGGGTGCTCACACTGGAATTGATTACGGGGAAGCATCCGGGTGATCTAATCTCCTCTTTGTCATTGTCGTCATCCTCCTCATCAACATCAACTGTGCATGGAATATTATTGAAGGATGTGTTGGATCAACGTCTCTTTCCTCCTAAGAATCAAGTGGTGGAGCAAGTAGTTATGGTTGCGAAACTAGCATTTGCATGTTTACAAGCCAATCCATCGTCTCGGCCAACCATGAGACAAGTTGCCATGAAGCTATCAGATGATCATATAACCATGAAGATATCAGATGATCAAAGTCCACCTTTGCAAAATCAATTTCACATGATAACTTTAGGACAACTCTTTTGATATCACCTGTTCGACCTCTTTGAGTGTTTGCCTTCTATCCTTAGAATGTATGCTGTTCTTGTTTTTCATTTTCGACATTTTCTAGTCTATTTTTCTGCTCTTTTTCACTACTAGCATTTTCAAAAATTTTAAATAACTAATTTAAAAATATCCATAAGCACAACCCAATAGTTGCAAGCATTATAAATGAATGGTTCCGATAAAAAATTTCTACTTCTGTATCTTGAATTCATTCAGCATTTGAGTGGCTCAGATGATTTAAAAATTTATAAGCTATAAATTCCAGATTTGCCTTTTTATACTCATTCTGTATTCAAAACTTGCTTGCTCTATATCTTAGCAATTTGTGTGATAATTTATTTATTTATTTTCTACAGAGTAATTTGGAGATTCCTGTACAAAGTGGTGTTGTACAATGCTTCAAAGAAAGAGAAATTCACAATGACGTAGTTTGGATACCAAAGAACAGTTAAAAGTGTGTCATTGAAACCAGAGCATAAGACAACATGTTGATTTAGCAATTTGTTTGCTAACTTTTGTGAACAAATCAGAAGAAATTGAAAAGAAAAATGAACAGCACAGATTTAGATTAGGTTTTTTTGTGATAATTTTTTGAGTAATAATCTTAAAGTGGTGGTTTAAACCTCAAAATATAATCATTATTGTACTAAATATTATTTCAGGGAATCATAATTATACAGATTTATACGGTTACAAATAGATTTCTTTTAATGGATGAGAATCATTATTATACAGATTTCTGAGGGATCATCGAGCTTTCCAAAACTTAATTGAATATCCATTTTCAACCTGTCAACGAAGTCCTTTTAATAGAAGAGGTAGCCTTTAAATGACATTCGAACTTATCGATCTCGGAGTGGGATAGCCTTTAAATGGATTCCTAGAGATGCAAATCAGGTTGCACATTGGTTAACTTATAATATGAAGGACAAGCTCCCTTTTGATTTAGTGGGGAACCCTCCTTCTGAGCTTAAGGCTTTTCTAGCGTTAGATTCTCCCGGTAATCCTTGTGGCATTTCCTCGTAAAAAAAAAAAGGCCTAATGCTCGTAGCCATCCACTCCAAAAGCCTTTTTTTCATGTAGGTCCTATTTCAGATAATTTGAGATTTAAATCAACAAATTTGATTGAGGACTTTTTATTTTTAACATTTTCCTATTTCCTCTTTTCTTGAGTTGAAAATTTACTAATTAAATATTCATATTCAAGTTTTGCTAACACGCGCGCACACACACATATATATATATATATATTCAATTGATAATATGACTAATTCACTTGTTTCAAATTTTTTTTTTTTTCAAACTATCCTCGTCTAGTGATTTTAGTTTTGAAATCAAATAGAAAATCAAAAATATATTTGAAAATTAGAACTTATTCAAGTATGATTTGATTTGAAGAAAGTTGGCTAGAGGTAGTGTGTGGATTTTGACTTTTGAGCTTCTTTTTTCAAACTCAATAGAGATAATTGTATTAGTAAAAGGGAAGATAATTATATTTTTTTGAAAAAAACAGCTAAAAATTTCTAATTAACTAGTGTAGCTTATTTTGAGCTTTCTCCTTTGATGGACCTTTTTTTTAATTAAAAAGTGTGTGGAAAGCAGGTGAAATAAAATATTTTTGTTACGACCCAAATTCGCCCCTATAGGTTTAGTATCGTAACCGGCCAGTAATCATTAGATTACCAAAGGCCTTTGAACAGATTATCGTATAATAAGGGGCTGCAGAAGCAAATATAGAAACATACATAGTCTATATAGCTATGCAAACATATACGTGGCACATAATTTAAAACCTTGTATATATAGAGACATATATGACATCATAGACATCCATCCAACCTTGTCTTTATACACAAAATAGAACAAAAGAATTGGTCACAGAACAACAAAAGTCCCAAGTTTATGTCATGGTTTACAAAACTCGACCGTTGAACTCTTTCCGGAACCTCCTTGGGAGGCACAACGGTTGGCCTACAAAATAGAGACTCCAGGTCTTCAACTCTGAGACTGGTCACACGCTTGGTCGCCTACATACATAATATAAATAGTGAACGGAAGCCCAGTGAATAATAATAGAGTAAAGGTTTTACTGAATGATATCCAAACAGAAACAAAGTCTTGTACATAATCAGATGTCAAAGCAAAAATAGATTTACATACATATTTCATATTCGTATTCAAAGTTCATACATGTCACATGATAGTACGTAGTAAATCCATTAGCGTTAACAAATCCGATAACCCATGAAGGGACGGTTGTGAAGGCATTCCGATGACCCATAAAGGGACAACCATAAGGCATTCCGATGACTCATGTACACAGAGACGTTTCCGATGACCCATAAAGGGATAACCATAAAGGCATTTCGATGACCGATAAAGAGACGCATATCATATGATACTAAGGATGCCACGAATGCATTTTATAAACTTGGACAATCATTCATTCATATGAAACGTAGCATTTCAGAAAACTAATCATTTCATACCATCAAAAAATAGTTAAAGTTAAACATAACTTTACAAAGTTATTATTCACAGATAGCTTCAATAGCAAAATAGAGGAAGCGGCGATTCGGATAGTCTATAGCGCGTGACTTACACAAACACATAGCAGATACACATTGAAACACATGCTCAAAATATGCTTAACTCATTACGTTTCGTTCTTAGTGTGTTTCTAAGTCTTATCCTCATTATTATGTCTTAATCTTGGCTTAGGAATGCCTATGATGCAATGAGAATACGAAAATGCACTTGAAAACACTTGGTCAAATATGCTGGAAACAAGGGTCTCACTCGAGCGTAACTTCCTTTGCTCAAGCAGACGTCCAAACATGTAAGTGGTCGCTCGAGCGCAACTTCCTTCACTCAAGCAGTTTGTAAACTCTGCAAAAGTACTGGTTTGTTGATTTTTTCCGCTCGACGGTCGCTCGAGCGTGAGGCTGAGGTCCTTGTTCCAGTGCAACTCTGGATGCTTGAGCGGTCTGTAAAACTTGTAAACTTTTGGGAGCATACATTTTACGCTCGAGCCAACTTGTGGTCGCTCGAGCGAAAGTGCCAAAATGCGAGTGGTCGCTTGAGCGCAGGTTTTGTCGCTCGAGCGGAGGAGCAGAACTCTGAAATTTCCAGATTCACTCCCAAGCACCAAAACTCAAATTCAAAGCCACAAATCATGTTCTTTTGGGCCAAAAGCTTGAGAAAACATGTCTAAACTTGTCAAACATCATGTATTCAAAACCATTTTGCCAAATCAAGGCCCAAAAGCTTGCTAATTGCTCAAAATTTAACTTGAAGTTTATGAATATGATGTGAACATGACATGCATGAATTGTCATGAACTTAAGCTTTCCAAAACATGATTAATTAAGGTCAAATGGTAATAAATGTGATGAATTCTCAAAACAAGGTCAAGATAGACAAATGCATGTGAGACTTTTGTGAAGTTCAAACTCAAAATGCTATGATATATGCATGCATGTATGTATGGAATTCATCTATTTAAGCACAATTCTCATGTTAATTCATCTATCACACTTGATTTCATGTGGCAACCAACTAAATTACAAACTAGAAGATAGAAATTCTTACCTTAGAAGCTTAATTGTGTCCTAGATGTCCAAATGGTTGAGTCACTTAGTTCAACACCTTGAATTCTCTACAATTTTTCTTCATCTCCTTAAATTTCTAACTCAACACTTGATCTCTCTCTCTCTCTCTCTCTCTCTCTCTCACTCTCACTCTCACTCTCACTCACGTAGACAAATGCATGTGAGACTTTTGTGAAGTTCAAACTCAAAATGCTATGATATATGCATGCATGTATGTATGGAATTCATCTATTTAAGCACAATTCTCATGTTAATTCATCTATCACACTTGATTTCATGTGGCAACCAACTAAATTACAAACTAGAAGATAGAAATTCTTACCTTAGAAGCTTAATTGTGTCCTAGATGTCTAAATGGTTGAGTCACTTAGTTCAACACCTTGAATTCTCTACAATTTTTCTCCATCTCCTTAAATTTCTAACTCAATACTTGATCTCTCTCTCTCTCACTCTCACTCTCACTCTCACTCACGTTTGATGCCTCAAGAAGGAAGAGATAAGAGTGTAAAGTGTATACAGGGGTCCACTAGTGCCTTATATAGGCGTGGATTAAGGAATTCATTAATTAGGCTTAATTGAGCATTAATTATTCTAATTATTTCGTTCCGAATCAAATTTCAATTAAACCTACCACAATGTTCTAAAAATTCCAACTAACACATAATTCAAGTCAATTTCGTAATCGGATGTCGATGAGACCTTAAATTCGCAGAACAAAACAGAAACACAAACAGATATTTCTATGGCAAACAGATAGAAACACAAATAATGCAACACACATGCAATTAATTCAGAATTTCATCGTAATTACTCATTAGGCATAATTAATCATGCATGGTCTATCGGCTAATCATAGGTCGGGGTTGTTACAATTTCACTCACATTTTATATGCCTTTTATTTTTTCTTTTTTAAATCTCTTCTTATGTTTATGAATTAAACACAACCTTATGCTCTGTTTAGTTTAAGAATTTGCTGAGAGATTTGGAATTGAAAAAACGGTAGGTGAAATGCGAATGAAATAAAATTATATTTTACAGACATTTCAGACACATTTTTTTTTTTAAATTTTCTTTCTCTATTCAAATTTATTAACCAAACACAACCTTAGTGTATTTCAAATATTGAGAGAAGAAGATTTTGTACGTGGGTTATTTATTTAATGCAACCAAGAAAGTTTCTTTCAAATATGAGTATGTTGGGCTAAACTTATGGCTAAATAAATTGTTAAGGTTAGGATGAAGTTACCTACTTAATTACTTATAATTGTTCATATGATTTAAGGGAAAATTAGTCTAAGGTCCCTCTTCCATATTTAGTAATGGAAGAGATCCACAATATTATTTTATGATGTCTAAGATCCCTCAACCTCCACAATCATATATCACAGAGAAATTTCTCAAATCAAACCTCATTTTTTTTCTCTCTCTCACTTTAAACTCTCTCCCTCTGCTAAATTCATCTCTTCTCCTCTCTCTCTCATTTCTGCGTCTTTTTCTCTCTCTAAAATGTTCTCTCTCTAAAGCAACAGTCTTGATCTTTCTGATTGTCCCCATTCCCACCGCCATGCCCATGCTCGTCTCCGATCTCTGTTCTTCTCGCTGGAAACTTCCATCTCCAGCGGTTGTAATCTTTCTTTGCATAGGTAGATGAAGTGCAGCTTTGTGATGAAGATGATGAAGAACATGAAGTGGGTCTAAGATGCCGGAGCCCTGTTCAGGTTGGCCCTGTATCAAGTCTAGACCCACTAGACCCACCCATTGGGTTCTTTCTTCGACGATGACCCTTCCAGCGAGTGAATTAGTAACGATTTTGTTTGATCCCCAACTTCGGGTCCACCAATCCTCCTCCCTCCTCCACCCTATTTTCAGGTGAATTATACACACATATATATGTATATGTAACTACGAAGATTGATGAATTTAAGTGCTATTTTAGATGATGATGATGATGGTCATTGTGAAAATTGCGCAATTGCGTTCTTTGTGCTTTATTGATTAGTTGATTGTTGTATCAGTGGTTGCGTGTTTGGTTGCTGAGAAAATGTGTGAAATGGAAAGAAACTTAAAATTTGAA